ATTTGTTACCAGTCTTCGCTCGGACAAGTGACACATGTTTTTTTTCATTATTCGAGACAAGGTTGTACCTGGGCCAACCTAAACGAATTTCAGGGCGTTCAATTTGCTTTAAGGATCTTGTTGTCAACGGTTTTACTCGTCCTATATAAACGGAGAGATTAAACGGAAAGGGAGGGCGATGTAACAAGGAACCTTAAGGAGTGATTAAAGGTACAAACAATTATACGAGGTCGAGCATTTTAATCTTCAGGACAGTATTTATTACCGACGGTTACAGCCTCTTTAAGAGTTTAAAGAGGGGACCATAGAAAATAGGCTTCCGATACTTCAAAGCCTTATGGGGGGATGAGGCACGCTTCACTGTGACACAACCAAAATCCTCCGACCTCCTTCCTTCCCCACCCCCCCGCCCCTCATAATGACCGGTCACCCTAACCTGTACCTGTGCCGTATCAGTTTTTTGTCATACAAATCAGTCCCCCACCTTCGCCTCCGTTGCAGGCTCCCAAACTCTCCCGTCGTCGCTGCTTCCCCTCCCATACGTACTGAAACAAGAATAGTCTTTCAAGCGTTCTCGAAATAAAACATGAAAAGGTTTTAGAAGGGCCAAAACGTAACTCAGAACAGCACAGAGAAGCCAAGAACGACCGAGCCGAGCCGAGCCGTGCACGACCCGACAAAAGGTTGTTCGCAGCTCCTGGTAGTGAATCTACTTATGTGATTGAACTGAAGACACAACTTGAAATTTCTTTATCTTTCTTAACTTTATTGTCTCTAATATACTTGATAGTGTTTGTTTCTAAAACCTTTTTGCGCCATACAACACAGAAAACTACGCGTTCAAGCCACAATAAGATCAAAACGTAAAAGTAAAATTAACATCACATGATTTTCCTCGGCTAAGAATTAATGAACAAAGGTCGCATCATTCTATCTCGATCTTCAGGATGGTATTTTCAAACACTTCACGTGAGTAGTTTAATTCACCGTTGAACTGACCTTTGACGGGTTTTTAGACAGATGTGCTCATTTTCTCAGTTCAAACGCTCTAGTCATATGATTTGATATCAAGGGATTACAAAAGACAATTACAAAAAGCCATTGGAATACTTATTACAGAGAGTAAAGACATACAGAAGTCATCCAAGTTTTCAAAGGTTTTTTTTCGCCAGGGTTTCTGTTTTATTTGAAGGCAACATTCTCTCACGCCTAAATTACACCAAATATAGCGACGACGCCTCTTTGTAAAAATTAAAAAGTTCTTTATCCCTTTAACTCCCTCAAGCGGACCAAGACAGAATTTCACCTTACAATATCAATACAGTATCAAGCAGAAAAGTGATGAGAATAGAGAAAAATATCATTCGGAGGAGTATTAGTTGATCCAATACCAAATTCTCCACACTAACATCACAAGAATTGTATAACAGACGGTAAGGAGAATTACTAATGAGATCTTGGGAGAGAAAGGGTCAAGAGTGATGATACCTGTAAAGAAGGATAAAGGACTGATGAGCGTGTGACTTCTAAAATCATGAGACGATCAGTAATTGTTTTTCCGGATTATTTCGCTAGATTAACTTTGTTTACCAAAGAAAGGCTTGGTTAGCTTTTCTGCATACCTTGCTTGATGAAAAAAATAGCGTGAATTGGAGCACGCTTTCTATAAGATCCATTTGTGTTGAATTTCACAGTCATCAGCGGAAGATCCCGTGAATAGCTTCTGGTGTTTTATTCTCAGCATGATAAACAACTTCTTAGTTTACGACGGAGCTAAACACATATTTTCAAAACATATCAGGACAACATAATGTCGGTGCAAGTAGCGTTGTCGAACATGACGAATTTATCTCGATCATCTCCATGCGCGAGGCCGTCTATAGATGACTTCCCAAGCGATTTCGTGACTCAACACCAGCGGAAAACTCAGGGGTATATTGCTTTACATTTTCTCACGATCATTTACATGACGATCGCTCTGTCGCAGGTGTGTGACGTATATTTTGTTCCTTCTCTACAAAAACTCGGAAACAAGCTTCACATGAGTTCTGACGTAGCTGGTGCAACTCTTATGGCCCTGGGGACTTCTTCCCCCGAACTGTTCGCCGCAGTGATCGGCGTATTCTTCACAGCTAACGACATTGGCATCGGAACTGTACTTGGATCTCTGCAATTCAACACTTTATTTGTAATAGGAATTTGCGGCTTGTTTGCTGGTTCTGTGTTACCTTTGAGGTCATGGCCTCTGTTGCGCGACTGCTTTGCTTTCCCTTTGAGTGTAACGGCACTGGTAGTTGTTATTTATGACGAAAAGGTTTACTGGTATGAAGCATTGGCGCTTGTGATTATGTACGTGCCGTATGTGCTTGTTGTGTACTTCAACTCAGCCTTTCAACGTTGCTTTGACACATTTACCAGAAGCGAAAAATGGGTTGACACCGACATTGAAAATGGTATCGGTGAGAAAAGCTCTCTCTTGGAAAACCAGTGTCTAAATAGTAAACAAATGGCAGACCTCTCGAGATCTGAAAAAGAAGAGAAAGAAGACGAACAGGTCGAAATCACAGACCAGTTTGACAATTCATTATTCTCAGTGCCTCAAAGATTCCTTTCTAAAACTCTGTGGGTGATTTCGTTACCAATCACTTGTCTGCTTTACGTAACAGTTCCTGACTGCCGCAAGAAGAGATGGGAAAAGTGGTATTTCCTTTCGTTCCTTATGTCGGTGCTATGGGTTGCTATATTCATTTACGTATCGGTTTGGATGGTGTCAGTGATTGGCTTCACTTTTGGAATTCCAGATGTCGTGATGAGTCTCACGTTTCTGGCAGCAATTACTAGCATGCCTGAGGCTCTTTCGAGCCTGATTGTGGCAAGGCTAGGCGAAGGGGAAATGGCGGTATCTCAAGCTATTGGCAGCAACACATTGGACATATTATTGGGCCTTGGACTGCCATGGTTACTGAAGACAACGGTCGTAGCTAATGACGTAGATTATGTTGTTTTAGAGAATGGCGCCATGATTTACACAAGCCTTTTGCTCATAGGTTCTGCGTCAGTAGTCGTAGTTTTTCTCAAGGTAAACGGTTGGCATTTAAATAAGAGTCTTGGTGTTTCGTTTTATGCTTTTTATTTGTGTTTCACCGGTGTTTCAATTGTTTTTGCTTATATATTTGGCGACAACAAGCCGATGTGCGATGTGTCAGCCATTTAAGACACGGCATGAACAAAATCATCGACTAATATCCATATTTTTTTCAACCAAAGCGTAAACGTGGTAAGCCGATGTGTTGCCGTGTAAGTTATTGCATGAACGAAAATAGTGTAGTAAAATGAAATCCGTTGTTCTCGTCCGTTATACCGAAAAGGAAAAGAACTAACACAATAAATTAAACACCCGCTTTAGATATATAGATATATTTAACAATTATTCCACAGTNAAAAAATCTATGATCCAATTAATTATCTGTTTGGGTATCTTCAAGACGGTCAGCTTCCTAACTAAAATGTCATGATTTATAAGATCAAAAGCCTTCCTATAATCGTATAGTGTGGCTCTCGCGGTGGCATTTTCAAATCTTGACTTGATAATGACGTTATTCACAAACGTCGAAGCGTCGTCGTTTTTGAGTCATTTTAAACCTTTTTTCGTAATGTATATGACGTATATGAATACGTCAAATGAAGTGTAATTTCATAAATTGGAAAAACAACGAAGGAGTGTTAAGCAAAGAGCAAAACGCGAGCATTATTGAATTCAAAATACTAATATTGCTATGAGGCAATTATTTGGGCAGCAAAGGCGAGCTAAATACTCTAATAGGCCATTTTACAGTTGTGTACTTAGTTGCCAAGCCTTTGATCCAGGAGCGAGGCTGAGGGTGACCTTGTTGTGATGGACATGAGTATCTTGTTAGCAGAATAACAAAGTTATTTACGTTTGAAAGGCAGCAACGTCTGTATCATAACAAGGTCATCCTAAGCCTCACTCCTGTTAAAAGGCTTGGCAACCAAGCGCGCAACTGTAAAATGAACTATTTTACCTAGCAAAAACTGTTGCATTGTTAATTATCGTGCATTGGGAATCCTGTGGTGAAATAAAGCCAAATTGCTGTAATAGTCATCCTGTTGCAAATTCAGACGCTAAATCTAACGCGTGAGCAGCAGCTGGGAGCATCATTCAGACATTTCAAAAGATTGATTGCCCGGTTTTTCGAAAGCCTGACAGTGTCTTAACGGAACGAGCCATAAAACCACCTGTTACGCGTTTCGTCTATGGAGACATTGATGGTCATTTCATTTGGCGTCTTCTGCAAAGTTTCGGAAAGCTTTCCGGAGGCGGTTTTTTTTTTAGTTCTGTATCTTCATACAAAAGATTATTATCTCTTGCTTCGCATAAATACGTCTGAGCCAAACTTAAATTTCATCAATTTCGTTGTAAATTTGGTCGTGATTTGCGGCGACTGAAATGTTTGTCAGTTGAAATTAGACTTACGATGAAAGCAAACTTAGACAATTACTTTAGACTCTTATCGCAATCTCTAACTTGTTAGCATGAGTAACCTTGAAGAATGACCCATTAAGCAAACGTCTTTGAGTTGATCGATTTTGATAAAATTTACGAATTCATCCGGAGTAAGGAACTGAAAGAGCGAAAAAAGTGCGCAGTGACAAAGTACATTGAAGATTTGCTTCTTTGTTAAAAGAAAGTTGCATCTCGTTAAAATGGGTCGTAAAAATCCATCGGGAATCAATGCCTGTTCGGACTAAAACAAATCCAAATTCCTCAGCAATCGATACAAGCTCGGTAACATCTCTAAAATGAAAACAGACAATTAGGGGCCGACCATTTAACTTTTGAGGGGGGTGAGTGATTTCTGGTCATCAAGAAATTTTTTTTTCTAGCAATCTGCCGTGTAGGATTTTTTTTTTTTTTTTTGCGTTCTAAATGCTCTTTTTTTTCTGTTGCATTTGGGCTGCATGCAATTTCATCCAACACGCGCTAGCAGGAAATTTTTTTCAAAATCACCCACCTCCTCCCCTCCCCTCTAGAGTTAAGTGGTCGGCCCCTTAGATTCGAAGACAAAGGCATACCAAAGCACCAAACAGCAACCACAGGTGGCGCTCAGTGATCCATTTATTGTGAATCAAGCGATTATTCATAGATCTTTACACTAACTCATGTCACTGTAAGTTTGTCGCTCTGCTCAGGAGCTTTGATTCATTCCTCATACCTATCACACTGGGATACAGACACCAAAAGAACATTGCAAGAAACACAACCCATTTACTTCCTCAATCGGACGCTTTTCGCCGGCCGGTCGTCGAGAAAACAGCGTTCAAAGGTACCTGTTTTTTTTTTTTATTTGGAGTCTTATTCTTCGGTAAGTTAAGTGTCACAATTTATTGACAATGTGTAATAACAAGATATAACTTCTAACATGAAATTCTTTGCAGCCTGTTCGATTGATCACTGAAACATCTGTTCACATAATGTGCCTTCTGAGGTGAAATAAAAAACCACAGAACCCTTAAATGCTGTGGCAACACGTACCTTGTGGAATTCAACGACCTCGTGGAAGCCTTCCATAACCAGTTTTGTTTACACCAGCTCATGGCTGATCGCGTACAAGTTTTGTTTGGCGTTTCTTGAATGAGGAAAAATGAAGGATTGTTTGTTTTCTCGGAGCCTTCTACCGATAGTAAGAACTGTTTAACACTTAAATGGATTTATTTTAGACACTAATCCTTAATTTACAACAGCCAATTGATACCTGAATAGCAATACTTCATCAAGGAGAGAGTCATCACGATTTTACACCAGGTTTATGTCTTTGTTCAAGTTGGTACGCTCGGTATGCAATTGTCAGGTGAATATCTTGTCTTGTCTTTACGAATTAGCACTCGCATTTTTGTGTAAAAGGAATGTATTTTTCCTAAAATCTTTCGCCGGTAAAAGCACCGCAGCGCTCAAGTGAGTTTGACAAGTCCACGCAGCCCTTAAGTTACATTGAAAAACTGAGATGAAATCCTTTAAGCAATGCGGTATCAGATAGACAGGACCTTATCAATAAAGGCTAAATAGAATTGTATATATAACGACGCGGAGTCCTCACATTTTACACAGGTATTCAATATAAAACGTTATCTTAGTTGTCCTTTTCGTTTGCAATTGGTGGCGGTTTGCTCAATATTCTTCCTTATTTCTTCTGCTTTTTTTTTCCCCACAGAAACAGGGATTTTTCATTCTACTATGCTTAGCAGCGACATCGTTGGTATTTCTTTTCCAAAATCCCAACTGGGGACTGGAGTCGATTATCAGCCTACGTCAGAGATATGATTTGGCGGCCAGTGGTAAGTAATTTTGTAGTCCTCGAATTTCTGTCGTGTTCTGTGTCCACTGGTGGCACAGCGCCTAACAAAGAGATCCTGTTGGCGGGCAGGCTAATGAAAGCAGTTCTTCTTTCTGGGGAACACATGAGGCGTACAAGCATTTTTGGAGCTAAAAGTTAACAACTTTTATTGAAACCACTTCAATACTTTAAAGCCTTCATTTTGAGCAAAATTTTGGGGTGTCACTACTTTCCAAGTACTTGTTGTCGATTGACTCCAAATAAAAAAGGATAGAGTCCCCGTTAAGTATTCTTATTTCACACCTATCCTAGTTCTTGTTTACTCAATCTTGCCTTTACACTGTGAACTGTTAGAGAGAGGTCTACGAAAAATACGGATGGCTAACTTTGAAGTAGAATTAATTGTGCTTCCAGTCGCTTCGAACCATCGAGCAATCAGTTCAGATTGAAAGAGAGATGACTAAGTTTGTTAACATTAGCCTCGTGTCTCTCATTGCAGATAAGAAGGTAAAACTGGATACATATCCTGCAAACCTTTTAATTAATGGAGCCCAAGATATGACAGAGGCAACAGTATCACTCAGTAAACAAAGAGCTATTAAATTAGAAGAAAGACTCCGCACTTTGTCTGACGGAGACAGCTTCTCAGCGCGCTCGGATCTGACCTTAAACCTGCCCCAGTCCTCGTCAGATTCACCAGACTCCCATCTGTGCCCCTATGAGGGCTTAGTACCGAGAGAACAATTAACATTCACACCCCGAAATAAAAGCTGTGTTCCTTACAAGAGGACAGATGAGGATTGTAATGAAGCCTTTAAATACTTCGGAGAATACAACTTGACTTCTGAACCACTTCAGTGCGACAGTGAAGCAAGTCGGCCGATCTGTACTTTCCTCACTGAGTTTCGTTTCAGCCCACATGATAAAGTGTTAGTCACATGTTGGAGGGATGTTTGTTCCCAGTCTTCGCCGATACTTCTTGGTTGTTCTGATCCAGAATTTGGAACCGTTGATAAAGAGGAGGCATGGGTGAAATTCCACAGCATAGGTGAACTGGAACAAGAGTTACCTAAGATTGTTGTACAAAATTCCCTTCATGGTTTCAATTTTTGTCTGTTAAAGTGCAAAATTGATGGGCGCATGGTCAAACAGGCACTTATCTTTCCGCCGATTTTAAAACATATGATTCAGAATGCTCCGCGCTCAAGAAAAAAAATTAATGTGAACATCATTCTGGAGGACTCAGTTTCAAGATCTCATTTTTACCGGTCCATGCCGCGTTCAGTCCAGTCCCTGCGCGATATTTACAGGGATGCAAGTTTTCAAGCAACCGTTCTCGATTTTGAGCTCGTTCAGAGTTATGCAGCCTTCACTCTTCCAAATGTTCAATTCTTAATGGCTGGGAAATCACTGAAAGGTAGCAGAAAAATTCTGAAGCGTCTGAATGGTATAGGCATTCTAACCGAGAAATTCAAACGCTTCGGTTACCAAACGTTAATGCACGAAGACCTTTGCTGGTATGATCAGTGGGGAACCTTCCTGTCACCTGAGTACAAAAAAAGGCTGAAGCCCTTCTCGGACGGATTAAAAAGCATCTATGAGGAATTCAAACAAAGTACTGATCGATATGTTGACAATAAAGCGATGACTTTGTTATCCTGTGAAATATTAAAGGTATTTGGGATTTCCAATCCTTTTGGAGGAAAATACACTAGTAACTACTGCTGGGATGGACGTTCACTAAGCGAATATCTTCTCTTCTACGTGAGACGATTCATATCATTAGTGGATCGAAATCCAGAAGTAGCACCGGCGTTAGTTTACACACATCTTAACACCGGACACGAACCATCTGGGAAACGCATTCGAACAGACGACACTATTCTATCCAAGTTTCTTGAAGAAATGGCACGAAGTGACAACACTTTGACCATTCTCATATCGGATCATGGTGGGAAGACTTCAGATTACGCCATTGAAACTTTACCTGGTAGTTTGGAAGTGTACAGCCCCATGATGTTTATGATAATTCCTCACAAAGTTACAAAGCGCCTTGGCAAAGATCGCATGAATGCGCTGATTTTAAATCAGAAACGTTTGGTAACATTTGCAGATTTGCATCATACACTTAACGCTATTGCAGCCTTGACAGATGATGGACGTACCAATGACAAGGACAGCGGTTTGCTTCAGCCAGTTCCACAGACACGCACATGCGCAGATATAAAAGATATATCCTCTGAAGGCATGTGTCGATGTAAAGGCTGGAGAAAGTTTTTGAGTCCAAATTCCATGGAGGTCATTTGGCTGGCAGAGTTTGCTCTCGGACAAATTAATAATATGATACAAATGCAATACTCGCAAGGAATTGCTGGAAATGAATCAAAGCGTAGAAATGGATTCGGCCGTTGCGCCATGTTTGTTGGTAAGTCCATTGAGCGACCGAGACAAGAACTTATTGGCAAAGACTACATCACTACCTTAGTTTTAGTTGTTGAACCAGCTTATGGTGTGGAATCGAAGGAACGATTCGAAGTTCAGCTAAAACACTCCAGTGTTAGAGAACATAACATCACCTTCATCAAATACACGCGACTTAGTTTCTATAGCAGATATAAAGGCTGCGTCGACAAAAACGTAGACCTCAATCTTTGTGCATGCACACCGCATCCTTCAAGTAAACATAGAGGATCGAACATCGAGGATCTGATTCGCGCCCGCCACTTTGTAGACTTCGGAATGACAAGTAGTACTCGCTCTCTCGTATCCAAATGTTTATTGGTCACGTTACGGCATTTGAAGAGGCTTGTCGTTTCCAAAAAGCAAACGCGTGTAATGAGTATTGAACTTGCGAATGTGTGTAAAAATGAAACGCTGAGGGTGAAAATAGGAGGTATACACAGAGTAACACGATTTTCACTTGCGCTTCCCATCTCTTTAGTCTTGAAGCCCCGGACAATTCGTTTCTCGCTGTCTGTTCTCAATGGGTGGAAGTACGGTTTATTCAAACCTGTTTTTGTGCACTCTCGGTATGGCCATGGTAGTAAAAGGGGAAAGGTCACGTGACAAGAACCTCTTGAATACTTACTAACGTCAATGCCTCGTCGAGACATCATGGAATCATGCTTCAGAAACATTTTTATTTATAAATCCATAATATTTTTAGATTATTTTAATAAATGTGGGTAGACTAAGTTGAAAGAAACAATTGTCTTTCTAGCTGCTGGGACCCAAATGGCGCTGACAAACAACCCGAGCCGACTCTGCTCTCGCGCACCCATAAAAATTTTTTCCCAGAGGAATATCTTTTTTCCTTACCAGGTTTTTGTGGCCCCAACATTGAAATACGAGGGTCTCAATGGGGTTCACCGTTAACAAAAATTTAACCGTCAGTGAAAGAAAAACTGATCTTAGCCGCAAAAAAATTTTTAGTGACCACATCGGAAAAATACTAACCGTTCGCCGTAAATTGGCCAAAATTTTAACCGTTAGCAGTGAAAGCCTCATTGAGAACATCTGATACGAACGTAGTAGCACTATCAGCTACGTAGTTTCTCTCTACTGAAGAGAAAAGAAACCCCGTCAGGAAGAGTCTGGTAGCAATGCTTAGTTATTTTACATTTTGCGTCTCTTTAATCACGGTGTATTTGACTCAACCGGTCAATAACTACTGAAACAGACCAAAGATATCTGCATAGAAAGTGAATACAGTAAAACGTCTTCTACCTGGAGCCTCAATCACGCGTAAACACAGAATTTATCAAGTAAAAACTTAGCGTGTTATCGAAACTTGGGTGTAATACTTTAAGAAGCCCTTCAAGGGGCTGGTCATAATTATCGAGGATCTAGTTTTAATCACAATAAAATTTACAGTCTCTCCCTTTAACTCTCTTAGCGACGACTTATTCACTTACATTCCCACCCCCTCCCCCACAGGCGATAAATAATGACAGCAAGATCTCGAGGAGGGGGGAAAGTGGATTAGTCGTCGCTAGGAAAGTTTAAATAACTACTGAATGGTTCCCAAAGCAAGGCATATTTATAGAGTGCGCGTCATGAAGATATCTTTTGCACTTAATTCTTATCATATGAATTACAGTTTTCAATTATACCGCTAGCTCCTCTCTTTACATTGGAAGGATTGGAAAGATTCTTCATCATATTTTTCAGTATTTTAGCGATAAGATCCAATTTCTGACGCTTTTTATTAATAAGAACAAGGTCATATTTTTCTTTCATTTTTGAGACCTCCCCTCGTAGATTTTCCCATCGTTTGACACCCCACCCAGCCACACCCACCAAAATTAAATAACAGAGCCCTCCAATGACGAGTACGGACCCTGCTCCAAGTAATGCCCCGAGAATTGTGGGTAGAGTCCGATCCATGGCATTCCATCCTAGAACTCCACCGAGTATCAATCCAAGGAGAATGGCGGCCAAGAGAGCTTTTCCCGCGTGTATGACAATTCTTCCTTTCCTTGTCTTACAGTAGTTGTACCGACGTTCCACTATGGCAGAGTTATCTTCGATTTTTGTTTTCAGGTCGAGATGTCTGGAAAATGTAAATGTAATAAGGAATAAAACCGGAAGAAGGATGAAAAAGGGGAAAAATAACTCATAATAGGTAACTCTGTGAAGATTTATGTACCGAAAGGTAGAGTAAAACCAGACGGCTGAAATACATCGTTAGGTAATTTTTCACTTTTAGGCATTTGTTAGCCGTTTACCAAGTTACTGGACTTCCCTGTTTTTTCAAAGAGTTTTTAGTTTGCTACAATATGTTTTGTATGTAGTTCAAGTCAGAGGCTAAGCTAAAGTAGTATCTTCACCAAACAGTATTTCAGGCAATTTTATAATTTTCATTATCTGATGGCTTAAAAGATCTAGTACCTGCTACACCTGTTAGCTTAAATTGTATTAGCACTTGAATCACATGCGCGAAAGATAAGTCATGAACGTTAGAGAGTTATTATTCTTTGCATATATTGCAGAACATTTTCTTCAATTATACTTTAATCACACTAAAACGATTATGAAATATTTTAAAATAATCTTAATAAAGACAAACGCAGCATCAGGAGCGAGCGTTAAATCATTACAAAGAAAATACAGCAGTGAATAAACAATAAAGCAAAGTTAAGAAGAGTCAAGGTAAATGATTAAAGTTGAGGGATTGCAGGTGCATTGGCCGGCTCATGATAAGAAAACGGACCTTCGCATGCTCACTGGCTTCAAATCTGTCAGCGTTATTGTCATGTATCTCATGAATGAAAGCTATGATTGGCAGGGAATAATACCATTCTAACGTCTTTAGGTCGAAATTCTTGGCAGGGTGTTGTGTTTTTGTTCGATTCATTCACTGAAAATTCCCCGCGATCGGCGTTGCCTGTAAGCCTTTGCACAATAAGTAAGACCGTCTAAAAAGAAGTTGAGAGTTGTTCCATATTTCCTGTTCAGTAATGCAATGAACTGAAAAAATTATTTATCAACCCGCCGAGGCACGCGAACTTTAAGAGTGCGTCATCTCGCGTGAGAGCAGCGACTGTCAGTCACTATATGCGACCTGATTAACCCGTTATTATTATTTACTAACCTATTGTATAGATCTAAAAAGTCCTCGTTCAGCTGCGGTAAACGTTCCTCAATCAACTGTAATTGGCTGTCATTTGGTTCATTCTCTCGGAACGGACTGAAAAACTTCACTGTTTCCTCGATTTTCTCTCGGGTTTCTTTCTCCAGATCTGTCCATGTTTCTATGTTCTCTATATTATTTTTTACATCATCGTATCCCATGTTTTCTTTTGATTCTAGGTCTTTCACTTCTCGATATCCATCGGTAAAGAAGTCCAGAACAACGCTGCAACAGTTTCCAGCATCGTCCGTCATTTTGTGCGATCTATCTGTCAATTTTAAAAGTAGCGGTCAATTTGAACCGCTAATAAGGTGAATTTTAAAGGCTAAACAGAAATGCGTTTGAGGTCATAAATGATATATATTGATAAATGACACCTTAATTTCTTTAATTATCGCCTTTTCGTGATAAAAGCTTCTTAAAGTCTTGGGCTATCTATAAATCATCTAGTTTCGCATTTATATCTTCAAATTTTACGACCACGAGTGCTTTCTAAGAGCCGGCGAATGCGATTTTTTTTTCTAGGAGAACCATGACAGAAACATTTCGGTCTACCGTTGCTTTAATTTGGCTCTAATCAGCTGTCCAAACTGGTTCTCTGTAACAACAGTAATTCAAGAAAAGTTTTTAAGACAGGTCTCATTGACGCTTGTGTAAATCCTAAAATTTTGGCCCCTTGAAAATTGCCGTGTATTTCATAAAGAGAATTTGAAATAATATCGCGAATCACCTTTTCTATGCACCCCTACGGATGATTTACGTAGGAGTTGACAGACAATTAATTCAGTAAAAAGGAAAAGCCATCATTGCTTTATGTATAAAATCAGAGCTAAGCAAAGAGTTTCCAGCAATCTGATTGGTCGAGCGGTTCTTTATATTTAGTTTTTATTAGCCGAGTCTATCATCTATCATGTCAAATAGAGGATATCGTTTGATTTAAAACCAAAATCTCGAGTTTTTAGATCTTCTGCAAAGCTCCAGTTTTCGAGACCTTTTCAAACAATGACATAAACTAGAGTGCTCTGAGCAGCTCTACGTCATACATCTCCTGTAATTCGTCAAACAACCCTATTTAGCAGTCTTAATTAAAAAATTAAGAAAAATTCTCCATCAATTCGATAAACTCAGTAGAATGCATTACTTTCCCGCGGTCGAACATAGACACGATTTGAGTTGATCTATAAAATTCCTTTTTAGAGCAATTCTGAGGTGACGCAAGACGAACGAGTAACCCAGATAGAAAGGAAACCAATAGAGAAAGTGGAAAAAAACTACATATGGTTTCAAAAAAACGTTATATTTCAAATACTTCAGGGCAGTTTGCTTAAAAAATGTTTTTTTGATTCAGATCGAAAAAATGACACCATTAACTCTTTAATTAAAACCACCTAAAACACATTGTGTGTAAGTAGATTGGTTTAATATCATTAGCATGTTACGAGTGCGGAAAAACTGCGTCCCAGACACAATCAAACATTGTTCTTTTCGATACGAGAACACGACAGTTAAAGCAGTATTACGTGCACAATATTATTTCGACAACACCAACTAACCGATTAGCCTTTTTGTCTGGGTCTGTCTAGTACAAACCGTCATTGACAACAAAACCGTTTACGTGCGTTTAGCTCTGTGCTGTGAATAAATGATCAAAACTGGGGATTCAAACTAACAAACTTACCTTCAAGCTAGGGGCAGCTCCTTAAGCCACGAAGAAAGAATTAAAACGGGTGATTACATGCACAAATCCTCAAGCTTTTATAGCTGGCGATTACAAGCGCAAACCCATTGGTTATCCACATTTACATTTTGACCAGCCAAAATAAATACATTTCATGAATCTTAATTGCTTCGCTTCATTCCCGAAAGCGTGTTCGAATACCGTAGAGACACAAAAGGACCGCCTTTAGGCAGACACCACGTTATGAAAATGTTTTGAATTCTATATTTATATCATATCGTTGTATAGGTTTAATTGCTTTCAATCGAAAATTTCATCAGGTTTAAAAAAAAGTGGAGAGACCTTGTAAATACTGCGTTATCATTGCGGCCGGAAGTATGTCATCGAATTTTTCCATAAAAGCCTTTAGTCATCTTCTGCAGGCGGTGTGCGCACTCCGATCGCATTGCATTGTAGTAGCGTTATTTTCAATATGGCGGTAAAAGCGGTAGAAATGGGTAGAGTTTGACTGAATATTCCATAAAAGTTAGCCGTTTCTTTTTCCTTTCACTATGGGTAAATATAATTTGATATATTCTGAACGTGAGAAGTATTTTTCGTGCGTATTTGTCCCGTTGTACGTCGTAGTTTGAAGTCTTTCAAAGGTTTGTATGGCCACTTTGATCCTTCTTCAATAGTTCTGACCAAACGCGCTCAAACGCGCTCCAGTGGTACAAATGTTTTAAACATTTTAAGTGACAGTGTTTGAGACCCTTTTGTGGAGCGAAAAGGACCATTGTTGTGTTTAGTGTGTTGCGTTACATAGCGTTACTACTAAGGAAGTAAGTAAGTCGACTTTATTTAAAGAGCGTGTACGCATAACAGCTTAAGCTGACAAACCAGTGGTCCTCAAAACTAAGGACTGCAAGGGCATTTATCAATCGTGTTGTAAATCTACTTTCCTAAGTGAAGGAAAATTAAATTATCACGAGTGTTGTGTGGTAAATCTTCTATCTTGATCATTGAATGAAGGACAGTTAAATTAGAGCAATGGAAAGAGTCACTTGATCCATGAAAACCTTTACCTTGCGTGAGGCGACACGCGGGAAAGTCGGAAGCCGGAAAGAAAAAGGCAGTCGACCGTTGAAAGATGTTGGTAGGCCTGTGCGTCTCCTACCATTCGCTAGCGCTTTTAAATCTTCTACCCTCAAAGTTTAGCTATTATTAGGATATCTTTAGATGACTTTCCTTTGCATAATAGGGGTCAGTTTTGAGGTGTCATAATTCTTCATCTGTAGGTTCTTGAGGTTTGGCAAAGCCGGATGAGATTGTGTTACAAAAGGCAATAATTTCTTCAGTGCGCGCGCTTTTTTCTTTGTTTCAGAGTATACTACTCTCCTGAAGTGAAAACTCCAGAGATACGTTTCTCAAAACCCTCAAATAGGTTTCCTCTATTCTCAAAGGGTATTTTGAAACTCTGTACGTTTTTGCTAAACGTGGAGCGCGACAAATTCGCTCTTAGGAAGCGTGGGGCTTATCCTTTTACATATCCCGTATTTTACGCTCGGTGGAAAATGTTCGTCTATTACAAGGTCAGTCTCTCTAATATCCGTTTGTATGTCAAGGGTCAATTCACAGTTGAATAACTCGCGTCTAGGAATATAATTACTGACATCGAAATTATTCATCCCGCCATCGGTTGTGAGTGTAACTGTTGCCATTTGTGTGGAGATTCTTAGGCAGATTGCAGTTTCGAATCTTTCTAAAAAACGTCAGTTCCCTCGTAAGAACGAATTCGTCACGGACGAATTACAGGAGTTGCGTAGGCCCCTCAAACGTTTTAAGTTTCAAAGGAATGGCAACAGACAGTGAATCCCCATTACAATCGACGTATATTCAGGCCGTATCTCTCTGCTACCAGAGATGTTCACTCCAACAAGATGCAAATGACTCAATTTTTGTTTTACGACCATGATGCAACGCAATCAGAGTGCGCACACCGCCTGATCAATGTATACATAGTAACTATGCATACAAGGACTGTTCACGTCGAGATATCTTTTATCAACTTACGTAACAGCATTCTGGCCGCCATTTTAAAATCGTGTCACGCAGAAGCTTAGAAATTCAACCTTTCTTTTTCACTTAAACTAAAAATTTGTAAAAAGACAAGTTTTTAGCTGTTCTAATAACTAACCAAACTAAAATTCTCAAACGGATTATGGACAAAAGGGTTAAAGAACAGGTGTTACTGCACATGGCATTACAACTGAGAAATTTTCTACAGGTTGAACTGGTGGGGGAGGAGGTTTGCTCTGTGGCTTCATCAGCATCAGGATCAGTATTTCTTGTTTGACGGAATTCATGTTTTTCCATTTACTGCCCACCGACTCCATAATTTTCAAACCCTCTTTTCACTGCAACGACCTAACATATCGTCGGAGGTCCGTTTTGTTTTCGGAACTTTTTAGAAATTCGAAATAGATTTGCATACATTTTTACACTGTTTTGTAATGAATAGATTAATCTATTTGTGTTTTTGGATCCCAGAGCATAGAAATTATCAAGACCAGATCATACAATGATAGTCAGTGAGACCTGTCTTACACACACTTCTTGAACTAGTTTGATCAGCTAATTAGAGCCAAATTAAGGCAACGGTAAGCGGAAATGTTTCCATTGTTAGCGGGCTCTCCTTTATAAAAATCGCCTTTGCCGGCTCTTAGAATTCGCTTGCGGCCGTGAGAAGAAAGAAACCCGGCAAAACTCAAGGAAACAGAGGAGCTTTCAGTCCGTTCCGCAAAAATGAACCAGGTGACAGCCAATTAAAGTTGATTGAGGAACGTGCCTCACAGCTTCCGGAACGAGGACGTTTCATTCTCTTGAAAAACAAAATATCTAAAAAATACAACAGCTTTGTTTAGAATCAGTTTTGCCCGTATAGGACGTTCCTTGAAAGATCTTACACCCAGTCATAGCTTTTATTCATGTTAGAGATAACAAGAACATCGACAGATTTGAAACCCGGATGAGCATTTGAAAATCCGCTTTTCTGAGTGACAATGCGAACTGAACACCTCCAATTGCTCAACTACGCTGGTTAACGACATATATATTTAAAGAAAATGTTCTACACTTAATGCAAAGAATAAAAACACTAACACTCCTTACTAGTCTTTCGCGCATGTAATTTCAAGCGCTGACACAATTTAACTTGAAATATGTATCAGGTACCCCAGCCGGATAAGTTACAAACTTTTTGGGTAAAGATACTTCAGTAGCTAGTCCGCTAATTTGAACTGCAGAACATGGCATGGCAAACTAAAAACACTTCGAAAAAACGGGGAATTCGAAAAACTTGATTAAACGACTGAAATATGCCCTCAAAAATTCGCGATTGAATCCTTTCAAAGTAGAGGGAGTGTCTCGCGATTTAATCGAAAAATGTTATTCATATAAGGAGAAATACGTGTAAAAGATCTTATTGAGGCACCCTTCAAATATGCCTTGCTCCAGGGACCATGCAGTTATTAGGGAGTTTAAGAAAACCGCGACGACAGCGGCGACAGGAACATCGTTAAACAAAAGGTTTAACGAGCAGAACAACGGCTGAGCACGCGTATAATAAATATATCTTATTAACCAAGCGCGAGGGCTGTACTGGGAGAATATCGGCCCGGCGCGAGGTCCGTACAAAAAAAGACCGAGGGCCGATATCCTTCCAGTACGGTCCCGAGCAAGCTTGGTTAATAAGAGATTTATTATACGACTGAAGTTCAAAGGGACACAAGTGCGGTATCATTCGGGACGGTGCCCGGTCCAATACTGAGAAAATATTGACCGGCAATAGGGCATTTTGATTGGTTGATTTTAGTTATTGGCCCTCTGACAGCCCCAGTCGTGTAATAAATATTGGTAAATTTCTTTGCATCTTCTGCAAAACAACGCGTAATGACCAAACTTAACAGTGTTTACAGAACGTAAACGAAGACTAATTCTTAAAATTTCTTTTTCTAATTCGACGCTGCTTTCCATATCAAGTTCCGAGAGTTTTGACAGTGAGAAACAAGCTAACTGGTTCGAGGGTATCGAGAGATTCGTGGGTAAAATATAAATTCATTATTAAACCGACGTTGTCCACGGCGTCGCCGTCGTCGTTTCTTAAACGCTCTTTTACTTCGTTAGTGAGGGATCACAGGGTTTTAGGGTTAGTCGTCGCTTAGAAAGCTTAAAGGAGGGAGCGTAAATTTTCTAGTGTTTCAACCTTGATCCTCGTTAAATAATGACCGTTTCGTTGGTGGGGGTCACTCAAGTGTTATACCCGAGTTTCGAGGACACGCTAAGTTTCTACTCGAGAAATTCTTGGTTTACTCACGATTGAGGGTCCGCGAAGCAGGAGTTATACCGTATTCATTTCTATTCTGAGGCCTCTACGCTTCATGTCACAAGTTTGTTTTCAGTTGTTATTGACTGGTTCTCATTACGATTTAAAAGAAAAATAACCGTGACCGAAGAGTTATATAAATCGATGCTCTCGTCGCAAAATTTATTTTAAGTATGAATTGCTTCCAAACCCTTCACAGGGCTTCTTTTCTCTTCAGTAGAGAGAACCTAGGAACGTAGCTGATAGTGCTACTACTTTCGTATTTAAGGGCCGCAATGGAGTAACGGTGATGATAAATTTATTCTTGTAATGTTAAAATCATGTCTTTACTACATTAATACTAAATACCTTCACTGAACATAGTTGAAGGCACTTACACACTCATGCGACACATAAGCACGTGAATGTAAAAATCTAGTCGCGACGACACAACTTTATCAAATACTGTATCAACAATGAGTTTGGGCTTTTCAAGAAAAAGACATCAAAACAATAACTTGGACAGGGTGGGGAGGGGTAGAGGGAGGGGGAGAGGAAGAGGAAGAGGAGGCATTTAGAAGAGAGAGACTAAAGTTAGCTTTTGTAGCATTTTGCCACAATTGAGATTTAAAAATAATCCCGTATAACACAACTAAGTTTCGAATAACCAGTGAGATAAACACGGCTAGGTATACTAAGATACACACTTTTTTAGGCAGAAGGGTTGCTTTGCAATGCACGGCGTTTAAACGGTAGCTAATATACTAGCTTTGTGATCTTGAGCGAGATCTTGTCGGTGTTTGTCTGGGTGATTTAGTTGGTGGAGATTTCCTCTTTGGAGACACAGATCGCGAGCGTGACTTCGAGCGGCGATATGATTGCCTACTTTTATTGCGTGACTTAGATGAAGGTGAGCGTGACCTGGAACGGGATCGTGAACGTGAACGGCTCCTGGAAAACAACATATAGTTACTTTAAAATGAAATTATTATCCCACACTGGTGACTCTCTTAGCACAGACACCTCCAGATGGAAAAAGAGATATTTAAATATGTAACCTAAACATTTTTCAATTCCATCGTCTACGCTCCTTAGAAGAAGGACAACATTTTTCAAAGATTTCACCTCACTACGTCGGTGGTAAAACTAATAAGTTAATAAGAAGAGTTACGTGTATTTTTTAATGAACCTTACTTGGTTTTCGTTGATAAAAACGAAGAAACGAATAG